GACCCGCCCTACAGCTACCACATCGACTGCAAGGAATGCTTCGGGCAGCTCTGCAAGACCACCCCTCATTCCTTCGCCTTCTACAGTGACGACCACGGCCGGGGCTGGCGCTTTGGGGAGTTCATCCCCAACCTGCAAACGGGCGAGTGCCAGCTGGTCTCAGTGGATGAGGAGGATGGCTCCAACGTCCTCTACTGCAATGCCCGCAGCCCCTTGGGCTTCAGGGTCCAGGCGCTGAGCACGGATGACGGGGCTGTCTTCCATGGGGGGCAGCTGGTGCAGCGGCTGGTTGAGCCCCCCCATGGCTGTCATGGCAGTGTTGTTGGCTTCCCCGCACCTTTTGTGTATGTCCCTGCCACCCCCCGGGAGCCTGTGATGCCCGTCCGGGGCTCAGCTCGCCGTCTGCTCCCTGAGACACTCCCGGGGTTTCGGTACCTGCCCACCTGGCAGGCAGCGGGTGATGAGCGGCCCACTGGGGGTTGGTGCTCCGCCCCCGTGGGCCAGTGGCAGCCACCATGAGCCAGACGAGCCAGAGGAGGGCTGTCCTTCCCCAGAGCATCATGGCCATGCCCACGGCATCACCTCAGTTGGAGGGGACCCTGTGATGACCCCTAGCCCCACTGCCTTCTTCCAAGCACCAACGTGGGTCCTCTACTCCCACCCCACCAGCTCCATGTCACGGGTCAACATGGGAGTTCACCTGAGCACCTTCCCCAGGGATGTGGAGAGCTGGACTGAGCCATGGGTCATCTATGAGGGCCCAAGTGCTTACTCAGACCTGGCTTACATGGAGCTGCCCTACAATGAGGCCTCCATCTCTGGTGGCCCAGCCATTGCTTTCGCCTGCCTCTACGAGAATGGGACACGGTCGCCCTATGAACAGATCTCCTTCAGCATGTTCACACTGCAGGATGTGCTCCAGAACATCCCCCTGACAGCCACTGCTCCCCGGCAGGGTAGCAGCCCCTTGCGCCACAGGAAGCGGGGGCAAAGGAGCTGCCTCCTCTCCTAGTGCCCCCCAAGTCAGCTCCCCCTGGTCCCTCCACATCAGATCCTGGAGCACCAACCCAGAGCCCAGCACACTGGGATGCTCACAGCCTGGGGGTCCTGCCACCAGCCAGCACGGCCACATCACACAACATGCACTACCATCCCAAAAGTAGGTTTTATCTCATTTTTATTGCTATTTTTTTAATTATATAGTTGGTCGGGCATGGAAGCTTGTGTCACCAGCCTAGCCCCAGGCTCCTTTCCGAGTACATGAGCCACCCCGTGAAATACATAGCGGGAGGCAACAGCAGCAATGCAGGGGAGAATGCAGCCGGGGGCACCCCATGCCACCCACGTGTGCTGGGTCGGGGGGACATGATACTCCGGCTGTGCCATACCTCGTACTACCACCCTGCTCCAAGGGTTTTCCTCCTGTGGACATAAATATTTATGTTGCTTTTTTTATTGCTCCTTTTTAATGATCCTGTTTGAGCCAATTCCTTTTTTTCTCAACGGTCTCTCCAACATCACCCAGTTACTGTTTAATCTGGCTGATTGCTTTTTTTTTTTTTAAGCTACCATGGACATTGCTACTTTCCTCTGAATCTTATCAGTTTTGGGGCAAACATCCTCCCAGCACAGGCAGGTTCAGGCCTGTACCCACGCTCAGTCCCTGTATCCCCACATGGGGATGGGGGATGCACTGAAGCTGGTGACACTCCCTGCGAGTGCAGTGGCAGGTTGTGCGATGGGGTCCTGGGCTGGTGGGGATGAGTGGCTGCTCCTGATGTGCTGCATGTGTGTGCATATGGGTGAACTTTGGGGGACTACACCTCATTTCGAGCTCTACCTCCTTCAGCACGGTTCCATCCACGTCTCCCAGCCCCAGCTGGAGCCCGACCCAGCTCCTCTAGTCTCCTTCGTCCCTCCTGCCCTGCATGGGAGACAAACACCAATGCAAGCTGCCCTAAATACAGATTGATGAATGAAAATAAGTTAGTGTTCCTGCTCTTATCTCTACAAATACCAGTGTCACATTTTGAACTTGGGCAGGTGGAGGCTGATGAGGAGTGTCTGGGAAGCCACTGGGCTCGTGCCGGGATGCCAGGAGCCAGGTCCTCACCTCCATCACTCACCAGGTTGGTTTCAAACCCCAAATGCCTGCCAGCCTCAAGGGCATCTGCTCCAGGGCAGAGGAAGAGGTATCACCCGGGTGGGGCACTCTGCACAGAGGCAGCCCTTTTCATGCTGACCCCACACACATCACTTCAATGTCTCTTGTGGGCTGGGGTGTCTGTCCCCCATGGGGAGTCTCTCTGTCCTGCACCGGGCTCATGCACTGAGCTGGTATCACAGCTTGTGCCATGTCCCCCCCATGGCATTTGCCACTGGCCAAGGGACACCCGGGGACGATGCCTCCTCTGAGCACCAGCATCCTGGCACCATCACAGGTCCCTACTTCCCCTCGCAAAAGCCACAGAGGCACCCAAGGCAGCCGTTGAGGATTTGGAGGGAGGCCAGCACCATCTCGGCAGCACTGATAAGCAGCAGGACGGAGAAAAGGATGACGTTCCAGGTCACAATGCCTGCTGGCTCCAGGCAGATGCTCCAGTTGTGACGATAGTGCAGGTAGTTCTCTGCCCTGTGCAACGGGGAGAGGAGGAGATGCAAGATGCTGCCATGCAGTGGGTCAGGAATCATGTCGCTATCCGCCATGGAGGTGTGCCCCAGACACCCCGTTCTTCATCCCAAGGATGAACGGGGTCAGCAGGGTGATGGGGGTGGGAAGCACCACATAGAAAACCATGGAAGGTGAGTACCTATTGAGCTACTGGGGTCTTGCATCACCACCAGCAAGCCCACCCACCCCACCCACCATAAATAACACCAACTTAATTAGCAATAAGCTGACAAGGCAGCACCAGCGACTCAACCCTGCTGCCTCACCTGGCGTCAGGCTCCTGGCTGCTGGCATCCAAGAAGGGGTAACCCCAGAGGGTACCATGCCCGTGGCCGTGCTCGGAGGCATTGTAGAAGCAGAGGGGTCCATTAGTCAAACCCACCCCGGAGAGGACGAAGCAGGCGGCAGCGCCCAGGAGAGCCAGCTTGGAGAGCACAGCAGAGATGAAAGCCTGTGGGCAGCACCCAGGGAGAGCAGGGGAGGCGGGGGATGACCAAAAGTCAGGCGGGCTCCAAAATGCAGCTGCACATTATTGGTGGAGTTTGGTAAGGGGGAAAAACTCCCCTCCCCTTCACTCCAAGGGGCTCCAGCGCCAGGGAGCCAAGGCTGAGGATGGAGCTGTCCCTGGGTTGTTTCAAGCTGGGCAGGGGGGACAGGCAGGGAGCAGCCATGTGGAGCCTAGTGGGGCAGAGCCCATGCCAGCATGCACGGGAAGCCCTGTCCTCTGGGAAGCTGGCACCATGCAGCATCCCACCACGGGAGAGAGGGCACCCTGCCACATCCTGCCATGGGAGAGGGGGCACCCTGCCACATCCCGCCATGGGAGAGGGGGCACCCTGCCACATCTCACCACAGGGTCATGGGAGAGGGGGCACCCTGCCATGACCCAGCACGGGAGAGGGGGCACCCTACCACATCCCACCATAGGACCAGGGGAGAGGGGGATCTGTGCCATGTCCCACCACGGGGCCATGGGAGAGGTAGCAACCTGCCACGTCCCACACTGGGGCCACCCACCACATCCCACCACACGCTGCTTGGGACTACTTTGGCACGGGGGTCCTGGTGCTGCCTTACATTGCAACGGGTGCCGCAGTCAGAGCAGCCAGCGCATCGCCACCCCACCGCCGTGATGTGGGCTGCTGCCAGCAGCACCTGTGGGAAGGAAAAAGCGGTTGGGGGATGAAGGGGAGCCACCTGCTCCATCCCTTCCTCCCTGCTCCACAGACACGCGAGGAAGGACGTGGTGGAAACCATGATACTCACGGTGATGCCGCCTCCCCAGACACCCGGCATGGCTTTGGCGTGCTTGCTGATGTGCCCCTCCACCAGGTACTTCGATGCCCCGCCGGGAAAGAGCAGGAGGATGTTGGCTGCCACGGAGAGCATGCCCAGTGCCAGCAGGCAGGGACCCACAATCCGACTGCACTTCCCCACACACATGGCCACCCTGCACAGGGATGGGGAGGAAGAGGAGGAGAGGAAGGGGCTGCCGCCAGCCCTGTGATGCCCCATGGCTCTCCCACCCCGAGCACATCTCACAGCTGTGGGTGGATGGGAGTTTGCTGGTTCGTTCTTTTGGGTCCCAGCCTACCCCACCAGCACTGCCCTTATTCAAGAGCAATTGCCAATGGAAATCTTATTTTCCCAATACCATCTAATTAATTAACTATTAAAAATAAATTCAATGTTAATACCAATCTACTGCAGCTGAACAGTTTTCTTGAGGTTGAGCTATTTTATCATAGAAGGAGAAGCCCAACTTCAGACCTGCTAATATTTCTTTGCCATATGGGCAAGGGAGTTTAAGACAACGGCAGGTCCCGTACTGAGCCTTGAAACCTGTGCAATTTGCAGGGTTTGCTCCTCCAAAAGGTTACTGCAGGAAGGACACCAACCACGGTGGCTTGGTTTGACTTTAAGTGCTTACAATGAGCAGGAGGGAGCCAGGAAAGGAGCAAAATCCTTGGACGAGGACTTGTGAAAGTACATCATTCTCCAATCAAATCCAACAGCAACTCCATCCCCATCACGCACTAGTCCTACCATAGGTCTGAATATGCTGAAACCAACTGAAGTTAATTAAGAAAAGGTTATCACCTATCCTTGGGCAAGCCATCCAGCTCCACTGGCATTTTATTGTTATCAGTTCACCTAGGAAGTGCCTGCCCGTCTCCAGGTGATACCTTGTCAAAAATTAGCTCTCCCTCTTCTGTACCTGCAAGATGGGGGATGTCCATCAACCAACATGGACCGCTGGGACCACTGAAAACAACCTGGTCCTGGCTTCCCAGCTTTCTTCTACCCTGTGTTCATTTTTGCTTCAGGTTGGGTTTATGCATTTTCCCCTTTCCCAGTGCCTTGCAACCCGTTTTGCACAAGCTCCCTGAATTGAGCTGCTTCTCGCACTGGCTAATTTTTCAGGCTCGCTCTGGCTTTGCAGAAGCAGAAGCGAACAGGCGCCGCGTGGTTGTTTCCGTGGGAAGAACTGCCTCAGCCCCCGTTGCGCGCAGCATCAGCAACAGGGAGGAGTAGCTCAGGCTGTGCATCCAGCCCCTGCATGGCCCAAGAGACTGGGGGCACTAGTCCAATGGGGTTTCACATTGCTGTGACCTCCTAGAGACCAGCCACACCAGCCCCAGCAGGCTGCTGGGGGCCAGAAAGGGCTGAATGTGGAGGAACAGGGCTGCAAAACCCTGCTGCATGGAGAGGAAGCAAGCCAAGAAGCCAAGACCACCAGCTCCACCCATCCTGGAGCTTCACCTCCCCTCTGCTTTCTATCCTCCCTGCCTTGGTTATAAGGAATTTAGGGCCTCTTGCCCTCACTGCAGTCCCACCTGCAGTCCAGGGATTTTGTGTGGGTGTCCCCCCAGAGCCAGGAGCATCCAGTGCTGAGTCCCACCTCCCCACTTTGGAGGAGCTTCCAGAATAGCTCTTGCTCCTCTGGAGCTCACAGCGTGGGTGGCTCTCAGCAGCCAGATGCTTTTGTGGTCTTCTGCAAGTCTCCCCTTAACCTCTCCAAGGACTCTCCTTCCCCTCCACCACTGCCCTCTCCCTTGGGAAGGCAAGAGGTCTCCTTCCCCCAGGAACCTCTCCCCCATGGCTTGCTGTCCCCCCAACACTCCCCTTGAGCAAGAACCAAGTCTGCATTAGCTGCTTGCTTCTACCTCAACCAATACAGACAGACAAACCCCTCTGTAAGGGGAGGTAATGCAAAAGCGCAGCTGAAGCAGTCTCTGTTAGGACATTCAAAAGAAATACTCCCTTCCTGCCAGCATGTCTCCATGGCCAAAAGCAAGGTGATTCAAGCAAAGCCCAGAGAACCTGTCCTCCCACCTTCCTGGCTTACCTGGGAGCAATGCCACGTGGAGCCAGCAGCGTCCACCCCTTGGATGAGCCCTGTCCTGGAGGCATCACCCATGGGTGACTATTTATGATGTCCCAGTGTGTGCTTTACATCTTCCTCTTCCACCCTGAGGTCCACCCACTGCATCAGTCATGATCCTTCCCTCTCCCCCACAGCTGGCAGCTCAAAAGGAAGAATGACTGAATGAGGCAGCCTCTGCCCATGCTGCAGCTGATCCATCTGTTCAGTTATGCCCCCCTTCCACCAAAACATGCACAACTTCAGAATTTAAGGCCTCCGCCACATCTGCCCGTAATGCCTTGACCATTGCCAGAGTAGCAAACACCATTTCTCCTGGAACGACCTGCAATGACTATGCAGGAAGAACATTTTCCTCTCTCCTCTGCAGCCCACTCCAAATGCTATCGTTCTGTCACCATGCGTCCATGTCCTCCACCAAGGGCTTCTTCCATCACATTTCACCTTATTTCCCTTGTTGTGCAAGAGCTTTGTGCGTGGATGCTGAACAGTTCAGGTTTGCCTCTTCTCATTTGTACCCACAGAAGGGAGTACACTAATATTTGAATAAAAGCTTCTACATAAATATTCTTGTGTCTTAGCTGGTTCCTATCTCCTGCCTTTTGCTTCCTTGCCCAGCTTTTCCTCCAGGTGTTGAGCATCCCTCCATTATGTATATATCTCACACTTTGGTGATAACATTGAGAGAAAAAGGCTATTTCTGGATATCTTTATTATTGCAAGTCACCAGACACCAGCATTTCAAAGTCCTATCCACAGTGCCCAAGGCTGGCAGGTAGCATGCAATGGGGAAGCTCCTCTTCTGTCCTTACAGAGAAGGTCTGAAGGTGGCAGCTCCGAGATGGGAACAGGACTGGGAGAACATGATCTCTATGTCTGAGAACAGGAGCAGGGAAGCTGTAGTACAAAAAATGGCAAAAATGGGGCAGTTTTTCTGGCAGAGGAGTTGCAGGCAGCACAAGCAAAGAGAAGAATTGCTCATGGGCTGTGCAGGCAAAAGGAAGAATCTTCTCAAAGAAGAATCTGGAGAAGGTTCATATTCCTCGTGCATTCATCATGAGGACCTGAGGCACATCAGCTACTTGGGACGTGGGCTTCCCCGTCTGCAACAGCCACAGGAGATGAAGTGTAAGTGCAGCTACCTTATAGCCCTGATACAGTCTTGCTCCGATATAGTAAATAAATAAAAAAAGCAACTAGAGTGCTACCTTTTGGTTTATAACCCAACTTGCTCTACCTAGGGTAAACGCACACAAGTAGCATTTGCCAACGTGTTTGAAAGAGGCTTTTTCTGCTTTCAAATCAATGCGTATGGGACCATCGAGAATATAAAACCTGCTCTAAGTACAGTGTGCCCCTGTCCATCGGAAGAAAAAGAAGATGGAGTTGGAGCCCTTGAGTGCTGCATGGAAAAAGATGAACGGGTGAGGCTGGGTTACATCAGCCAATTCCGTTTTTCTAGGAAAAATAAGCTGAGAGGAGCAGATTATCTGAATAATGATAGTTCCTCTGAAAGGAAAATCAGAGTTTGCACCAGCACGTAAATCCCCATTTTATTCTTAAATAACATGAATTGGTCTCTAACAAGCAGAGAGCAGCAAAGGCAAAGCATGTAGGACAGCAGACTGCTGAAAATAATCTGATTTTTCCTTCCTCTCTTTTTTTACTTAGAAAGAGAGGAAGCGTTTTTCACTCTACTGGAAGCAAATATGTTGCAACCTCGTCTTGTGCCCTTTTCTACGTCACAGCAATTTGAGCTTCCTACGTTGCCACACACATGATCTGGTCAATCATCTCCCACAGAAAACCCCATGCCATTCAGCATGAAGCATCAGGGTGAATCTTTTCCCCAGGATCACTGATCTTCCCCTTACACCCACTTCAGCCCAAGTCCATAATAGTAATAATAATAATAAAAGGCTAATTTTAGCCCTGCACAGCTTCCCAAGCACCGTGAGCAGCTGCATGCCTCCCTTTCTTGCATGAGAAATTAATTATGAAAGCGTCAGCTTGGCGGTTACGGGCAAGTGACTTGCTGCCCAGTCACCCGGCCATGGCACTGCCACACGTGGTCCCAGGCAAAGCAATTCTGGCTCAGCAAGGTCCTCCTGCTAACTCCTTCTCTGACACCAGATCGCAGCTGAAAAGACGCTGGCCACTTTCATCCTAGTTGTTTTGTGTCACTTTATCCTGTCACACTTAGAGGCCTCTGCCTCTCTAGTCCACAGCTTGCAGGTCATGTTTGGCAATGGCTCCTTCTGAACTTCAAGGTCTGTGAGGTTAAGAGAGCGGACGCAGCGGTTATAAAAAGCTCAGTGGCTCCTTCTGAACTTCAAGGTCTGTGAGCTTTTTATAACCGCTGCGTCCGCTCTCTTAACCTCACTCCCCTACCCTACTCTTTGCTTCCCCAAACTCCCTGGGGCTGTGGAAATTGCACAGCAGATTGTGTTTCAAGAGTGGTTTGGTTTCAAGGAGAATCAAAGAGGCCAAGTTGAGTTTGAATCGGTGAGATTGAACTGTTCTGTGCCAAACCAGCCTCCACCTTGGTCCTGTCCAGAGGCTGCTCAGCACAATTCAGTGGTCTCTCCCACTCCTCTCAGTAGCATCTGCAAATCTATTTCTGCCACTAGCTAGCTAAGACTTCTCTGAACACAGGTGTGGACACATTTGCTGCCAACGGTGATCCCCTTAGACAAGCCCTGCACAGAGTTTGTGGCTAGAACTCAGACTGAAGAAATACCAACATAATGCTGCTAGACAATATGGCATTTGCTTTCGCTTCCTTATGAGTTTCACCTGATTTACTACTTCAGATGAGATACACTAACCCAGTTAAAAGAAGGAGTCTGAGGAAAGGAAAAATAAATAAATAAAAAACCAAGAGGTATCTTGAGTCTATCTTGTAGTTCCTTGATCTGCAGACTGTGATGAAAAAATATTTCCAACTCAGTTGGAACAGGAAATATTTTCCTAAGCTGCATGAAGAGAGCAGGCTGTTTTCCAGCCTTGAGAGGCACACAACCAAGTCTTCATCACAGAAACTGGAATTGTCCAATGA